GCAGGGGGCGTGACACTAGTCTCGTGACCTCGCTGACGCAACAGTATGAATAACAAGGCCTGCAATGACAAAAAATCACAAGGGTGGTAAAAGTTATAGAAAAACAAAGTATATCCTTAAATTGGAACTAGCCATTCATGTGATTTTAACAATAATTTCACATATTTGAAGTGGTTCTTACAGCCATGAAGTTATGCATCTGCCTTTTCTTTCTCATTTTTGGTTTTGAACCTCATACGAAAAAGAGAATTAATTTCTTTAGTGTAATATATTAATAATCACTATTCAAATTTTTCGTAATTTTTTTCTTTTTCTCTTTTCACTCTAAAGACTTGATATTACTGGAAAAGTGAAACCCAAAAATTCTGTGGTGGAGAATACAGAAATATTTTGGCCTTCAGAATCACACTTACAGTTGAATGCTACATGATCTTTTTTGATTATAATTAACCATCATATTATTATTTCTCAGAATTATTTTTAAAAAAATCTTTACTTATTTCAAAGAGTGCATGAATCACTAAAATTCATCTTAGGTTTAGTCAGTGCCACACTTGGATTCCTAGCAACCAAGTTCTGAATTAATTGCTCTATTAAAAGGGGGCTAGTGTCAGCTCATGAGTTCCTTCAAGTGTTATATAAAAGTCTGAATCATTGATAAAGAAACATTTGTCGCACCTAATATATCTTAATAAATATCTATGCTTTAAATACAATTTTTGGTTACATTATATCAGATGTTAAGTTATGTTCGCCAATTGTCAATTAAAAGCTTTTACTTATACTTCTTATGAGTATAAATATATACTGTGTTGTTTTTGTTGGGTTAAAAATTCATCTACAATAGGTGTCTGTGACTTGTTGGCAATAAATCCAAAAATAAACAAACAGCACTCACTCCACTTGTTTTCAAAATAATATATATATATTTGGAACTAGTTAAATGTATGTACAACAAATTCTTTACACTATAGAGATCATAGGCATATCATAAACACTATATAGTTCTCTTCTTTTTGTCAAAAGTCTACTTATGTTTATTCGTTGCTTTAGAATTTCGTTTGACAAGCCAAACTATTTTTCTCTATTACTATTGCCAAATTGAGTATAGTTCGCTTACTTTATCATCAAGTTACCATAGTTGTATCCTATACTTCTAAAATCATCTGCTCCTTTTTCTTTCTTTGTATTTCCGAGAATCTTCCGTCTGTTTGTCAAAGTCCACTGAGGCTAGTTCAATTACTTTAGAACTCTCTGTGATGAAGTAAACTATTCTTCTTATCTCTTGCAACACCGTTAGTCTCACTCTAATATATCATCTGTTAGGCCTTCCACTCCTATGACGATTAACTTTTCATTTAATTTTTCTTTGGCTAAATTCCTTCTTGTAACTTTACTTCTTATCTGCTCTGTCTTTGTGTGTCTGTCTACTTTTCTCACTCATCTCACACTATTTATATGTTTATTACTTAATCGTCTGCTCGCTATGCCCTCGACATCAATAAATTTCATGCAATGTTTAATAATCTCAACATCAATGAGTTACAAACACAACATACAACTCTTTCCAGTTTGCATAACTAAACTTGACATAACATTTACTTTAAAATAATTGCTTCTAACTCTCTTGTTATGAACAAAACTAAACAATCGTAAAATATTCACTCACAAAATAAATAAATTAATAATATCTACACTAAACAGTCTTTTATCATGACACATTAATGTTTTGAATGTAGTAGTCTTGAAATGTTTAAGCAAAAAATATTTTCAGATTTTTATAATCTTGTATAGAATAAGGTGTTTTTCAATTTTATAATGGTAAATGGCATTCTGTGAGTGTAAGTGTAATTGTTTTATGCACTGGTTACATGTACAGTTGTGTTGCTTTCATATTTTTCAATTACATTTATATTACATTAAACATTAGTAAGGGTTTAATGAAACGTTTGTTTATTATTGATTTTGATGTGCTATCATAACACAGATTTAGTTGAATAAGTGTTTTTTCAGCTGATATTATGTATTAAATTCACATATCTTTAAAACAACTGTTTTTCTTGCAGGTGTGGTAAAGATATTGATGTTGTAGACACCCAAATCCCCATCAGTTTCAAAGGTTTCACAGACTACCTGTTTGCTTTAATTGGAATATTTGCAGTTATATCTATGACAAATCCCTTCTTTATAGTAGCTTTAATTCCAATTGGCATTCTTTACTACTTTATTCAGGTATTTGATGGTTTGATTTATTTTATTTATCATTCATTTTCTGTAATTCAAGCTTTCTATTCTTCTGGTATAATCACTTCTTGTTTGACACTGTTTTATTTCTCTCACACCTGGAAATAGTTTGAAGTTCAAGATTTTCATAAAAGTCTCAAATATTTCATTAAAGTAATTGTTTTCATGAGGATTACAGTGAAGTTTAAGGTAGGCTTTGGTCAAGAAAATTATATATTTTATTTAACTGATAGGCTGAAAATTTTGAAATAAAAATTTGCATATGAGAAATAACACATAAGTGGCTCAGTCTTAACTTGAATAATGAATTGAATTTGAAATTTATTTGTTTTTGGATTACGTAATAAAACTTATATATATATGTTACCTAAATGTTGCAAAAAGTATGATGTTATTCTAGATTTAACAGATTTTTTAGATTATTTTACGTTAAAGTATAAATACTTCTAATATTATTAGTGAGTAATAACTATGTGCAATACTTAATTTACAAGTTGCATAATATTTATGTTTTACATATCACTATCTTATTTTTACTTTTCAGTTTAAATACTTCAATAATATTATTTTCATTAATGACAAATATTACCTGAATAAAATACTCTCTGTACAAATAATTATATTCATTCCCCGAGTGCTTGGTTTTTCAGGTTTTTGGCAAGAAGTGAATTAATGACATCTTAAATGCAGTTTCCCACAAGTTCAATTCCTGTTAATATGCAAAACTTAAACATGAGAATTCTCCATTAGCCTTTGGTTCATTCCTTTACAGTACTGTAGTGACCTCTAGTTTTAAGTTTACTGAGCTGTAAGTTATACAGAAGGTTTATAGATTTATAGGTAAAAATTTCAAGTTAGTTCAAGAAAAAGTCCTTTTTAAAGAATTAATATTAATATAAATTGAGTAGGATAATGGTTATGAATGGTAAAATATTGATAATTTAAGCAATTAATTTCATGAATAATGTCCAAGTTCTTCAGCATCCTTAGAAGAGATATAAAAAACACATGTCACAAAACTGGAAATAAAGATTTTATTGCTTGAATTTTACTTTCGTATTGGATCTAATTGTTTGTCAATTTGCTATTTGAAGAGTAGAAAGTTAAATGTGGAGTTGTTACAAACTGACTAAAACGTGTACATCAAATTAGTAAAATTTAAATAGATATTACTTTTGTCTGTTTCTATGTGTAAAAGTCTATTAAAAGTCTAATTTAATATTAATCAAGATTTCAACTATTTCTTCTGAAACAAATACTCACTACCATACACAGATAGCTATTTTCCTTTTGAAGCCCCGCATACCTGTCTGAAAGACTTGCATGCCACCAGCTTTATTAGACTTCTACCTAAATTCATTTGTGTTCACATGAACTTGTGCTACTAAATGATGACGTATCATGCAACAAATCCCCATCAATAGGAGTGCAACATATGTCCTTGCTCAAATCCTTCGTCTACATTTACATGCAATAATCCTCATTCTTTTCATTAGCATAGTTATGTCAAGATGCATAAATGTTTGCTGAGAACTGGTCAAAGAACTCTGTTCTCAACTTACTTTGATTGAGTTCAAAGATAATCATCTTAATCATGTTAATTCTATCTTCAACTGATGTGGGTGAAAATGTTACTCACACTGATCAAATGGCCAACAATTCTGGAAGTTCTTTATGTGTAGTGGGGTCCTTCTACTTCTTTCCCTACCACACAACTCCCTTCCCCTGCAGAATCTGATGAGGATAATTGTGAAATGTTTTTTTTCCACTTCTATACTTTGCTTAGGTACTTCCATGCCTTCTGAAGAACAACGTCAATCTTTTTCAGATTTCGAGAACCTCATTACCCAGGTGTTTTGTATTCTTTCTCTGTCTCCCATAACCTAGAGCACCTAGGTTCTCTCATAAATAACCCTTCCCCTAGCGATTTATTTTCACCCTCCCCTGATATTACTGTCCATGCCAACTCATTTTTCAATCAACTTCACTCACATAACCTCATGCCTCGTCCCCTCATTTGACTGATTCCTATCTCCTTCCATATAGTCACTTTCCCTTTCCTTAACACCCAACATTTGAAGTCTCTTTTGCCAGATTTGGGAGGATTCTTTGTCAGCTGTCTCCCTATCTAGCCTCTAATTTTCTGGATTTCTAGTCTTCCTTAGGTACCTGTCACCTCTTAACCTTATAATAGAAGTGCCTTACCATTCCCCTGATGAATTTTCTGGGGACACTAGAGTGCTCCTCTTCTTTTTCAGTTCCCATTCTACTTCCTCTGCCCGTTCTCTTCTCACTTGGCTCCTTTGTTGTTGGGACCTCTTGGGAAGGGATAACCTTCTTTCAAAAGTACGATTACCTTCCTCTGAGATCTTTGTTTTGCCTTCTTTCTCTACCATAAAGTCTTTGGTTGGATTCCTGATTATCTCAAATCATGAGTTGAAGCTACCTGCCATCAATCTTCCCTTTTCTCCTTAGTCTCGTGCTTGTCCCAATCACATTTTTCCACACCTGTCTCTCACCCTAACCCTCCTTCCTCACACGTTCCCACCCATCCTTTTCACTTTCCTAATGCACTTTTCTTTATTGCCTCATCAAAGAATGGGAATTCTTGCTCGTGGATGTAGAGGGAAGATTTGCACAAGGAGATGTGTTGCACTCCTATTGGTAGAGGGTTTTGCTGCATGATCTATCATCAAGTAGTAGTAGTGCAAATTCACAAGAGGACACATGAATTTAGGTAAGAGTTTCACAAGGCTGGTAGTATGAGAGTCTTTCAGACAGATATGCACAACTTCAAGAGGAAAATAGCTATCTGTGTATGGAGTTGAGTATCTATTGGAAATGCCTTTTCAAGTAATGACAACTGTATGTTTAATGGATTTTTAGTGTATTTAAATTGAATAAATTAGTGAATAATTTACCTATATGGATGGTAGAGAATTGACTTGCTTTTGAGCCTTGGCCAATAAACCACTCAGGATACTGAAGGTCTGAAAGAAGTTTTAAGTTAAATCTTTAAAAGAAGAACAGAAATAAGACTGAAAAGACAATTTGTGGGTTATTAGTTGGATTTTGGTAATTTCTAGAGTGAACAAAGTATGAAAGTGAGAATGTGTGATGAAGAAGAACTATAGATTGTTTGTGTATAATTCATTGCTAAGAATACCTGTCAGAATCAGCAGATTGATAGTGAAGTCATGTAAGGTGAGGTAGAGTGTAGATGATGCATTTCACTGGTTTGTGGCCTGATGCTTTGCAATTAATTAATTGCTTTAATAGTAAAATTGGGGATTTCATCCCTGCAACAAGCACCATACAAATACCTATTGTGCAGTTTTTGATTCACAAACAGCTCCCCAGTGGCTCACCAGTAAGTTGATACTTGTTCCCATTGTTTAGCTTCATGATTAAACACAAACATGCTGAAAACAAATAAACAGTAATAATAAAATGTAAGTACAGCTAAATCTCTGATAATGGAGTTCAGTTTAGTATTTATTGATTTCTGAGAGTTTGATAGTTTTGTTTGAGTACTACTGTTTTGAGCTATTGTCCAAAGTTCAGTATCCTTAACTATTTTGTTTGCCTCATATATATGTCTTTTGATTGTATTCAGAATTAAAGTGTGATGATGATTTGAGATAAGAGAAAAAAGATATTTAGTTTGAACTTTTAAATTTACAGCATATTAGACAAAAAATGTTGATATATAATTTACAAACCAATGAAAGAGCCTGACAGCTGGGAGAAATGTTAAAAAAATATTTTATATGAACAAGTGTTGTATTTTTTTATCATTAAAGTTCATATAATTTCTACAAAGTAAATTTCAGTTTTTGTTCACGTCTTGTAAATGAATTTCTTTCTGTGTGTGTAGAAGTTACTGTTTTCCTTTCTTTGGCTTCAAGGAGTTTAAATATATAATATAATTTCATTCTGTAAATAATAATTTCAGCTTTAAACTCAACATTAATATTTGACATACAAAATTTTATACCTGTCAATTAGAAGCCTTTTTTGTATATTCTCTAGCTTTGATTGGCTCAGTATGATAGTTCAAGTCTTATATTCATTCATAATGTTATTGATGATTCAGAATAATGTACATCACCCATTTGTCTTTAATCACAAAAGTGGGTGTGGGCTAGTAGTCAGTGTGCTGAGCTGTGATTCAATAAGTCCAAGGTTTAAACTGTGAGGCATTATAGTGATAGTCATTCCCACTATACAGTTAGAAGCATAGCTGTATAGGAAGTGACTGCTGCTGACAGTTCACCCTCCCTGTGACCAGCACTTATGAGTCTAAGTTAGGGAAAGTTATGCCTCATTGTGGGGTTTCTGACCTAGCATTTTACGTGCCACATCAGGTGTTTTTCAGATTGAAAGTATCAGATACTTTCATCATATTATTTTATAAGTTTTTGCTTTAAAGAATATATAAGTTGTTAATAACACAAGCTACCCATATCCAAACTCAGTATCAAAATTAGGTAGTACTGTTGTGTATGTGGGATATTCACTGGAAAATATGCATTTGCACTGATGGCATTTCACTGTTCAAAGATTACTGCTACATACTTTATTTCATTTCAGAAACTGTATTTGGCAATTTCTCGCCAGTTAAAACGTCTTGAGTCAGTCACCAGATCTCCAGTTTATAACAACTTCTCAGAAACTATAAGTGGGGTTTGTAGCATCAGAGCATATCAAGCTCAGAAGTACTTTATTAAGATTAGTGAGGACCGAGTGGATATCAACAACAACTGTTATTTTATGAGCATGATAACTAACAGGTAGAGTACTTTTAACTACATACCTGATTCTTAAATTTCCATTGTATATATTAATATGTATTTGAAAACTAGCATGGTATTATTCATTTTCTAATGTAGAAAAATCTATACAAATTTATATACTATTGTAATTTAATTTGTAAAACTTCAACAGTAAACATTTTTATTACTTTTCTGAATTGCTATATCCTTCCCTTTGCTGTACTTCTTTTCTCAGATCCTTAGTTGTATAATACACTAAAGGTGACTTTTAAGTACTTGTGATTAGTTTTATTTACTGCTTTACAACCAAATTACATAGATTTTAGTAGGACTAATCATTTGTCATAGAAGAAATTATGTTTTTCACGCTTGAATTTTCCAACTATATTTTGTCTAACTTGGGTTTATGATTGAACTACCTCATTTTAAACTTTCTAAATAATTTTAACCCAGCAATAAGTCCCATTTTATTTTTTAGATCTTTATTTATACTTTGTGTCTACTTGGTATTCCAAAGTTTGGCCACACAGTCACATGACCACTACAACAACAAATTGCTTTGTGGATGTAGTGTTTGAGACATATGTAGTGACTTGCAGTACCATTAAATTTCGTTTCCAAGAAAGGTGATACAATAAATTTTTTTAAAACAAATAGAACAATTCTAGAAAAAATTTCTCTTTCCTGAACTTTTTTTTAGGGGGGGGGGATGCTAAAGCCAAAATCCTGTTAACAATTACTGCTAACACACCTTTAATGCAATGACAGTCTAAATGTTACCTGTCTTACTTATGGGTTTTCTTCATTCATCTTGTTTGCTCGATGCTGATTGGGGTTCTGGATTGATTGGTCCCACCTCAATCACTTCTTTGGGTTTGGATTGTGATTCGATTGTCCTTGACTCCTTCTTCCCATCATCATTTCCTAGTGTCTTCACTCTGATCATCCATCTTCCCTTTTTCATGCGTGTCTACCCTGCCATCCATTGAAGGTACTTTGTATGTCAAGCACTGGGTCTCCATCTCGTACATTCATCTCCCATTCTCTGCTTTGGGTAGCTGTTTCTTCCTTATCTGGGTACCTTCATCCACCTGTTGCTATCCTTCACTCTTTCATGAGATTTTGACTAGGTAAGTTACCTTTTAATGTATATACCTCTTCTTTTTCAGGGGCATGTCCCTTTTTTTCTTTCTGGATCCCACTCTATGGCAAGTGGTGCCTGACCAGGTATTCTTTAACCATTCAAATCTGCACTGTAAGACTATGGCCACGTAACACATACTGCAGAGATAGGGTGTTCCACAAGATTGCTTGTAGGTTTATCCTCACAATAGCTTTGCTTCATACGTTTGCCCATCCTGGACTGTACTTACCTATGGACTACATGGGTAAAGCAGATGGGGATAGCTTCCCATCCCTGCCATGCCTTGTATTGAATACATCAGTATGGTCTGCTTTTCAAAATAGGGTTTTGGGGTCACATATTGCACTGTCTCAGGTGTTGTCATTCCTCCGGACTCTCTACCATGCTTTCTCCCCCCTTTTTTCTGGTGGAGTTGGAGAGTCCTTACCACTTTCCAGTTCCAAGCCACTGGGATGGTGGACTGTGGAGGCATCCTCCTGTATGTGTTAATGAAACACAAATAATATATATAAATGAATATAAAACCATTCATTTGAGAGTAAGGAAGTGGTGTTCTGCTGGTGTAGATGACGAGATATCCTCCACTATATAACATGGGAGTGAGCTGTCATAATGGTAGTTCATCCCTTCGATTGGGATCCCTCATCCACCCCCCACGTGGATGTCAATTTCAAGCAGCATGGGTTTAGGATGTAGTTGACTTGCCATGTATGGTCTATCACACCCTAGCCACTCTACACCTATAATCCTTTAATCTTACCCACGTTTATGTTTTCTGGGATTGAGTTTAATAAATAATGTCTGATTCAGATCACTATTCTGCCATAGTTATCTCCCATTTGGATGTGCTCTTTCATCTTTCTGCCCATATGTGTGACATTTTTCCACAATGGGTGAAAAGTATGCCTGGTTCAGAAGTGGTGCGGTCTCACACATATGATCTTCGACTACAAATATCTCCCTATGGGGAGTGTCCTTCTGATGCTTCTTTTTTTCCCTCACACTGGTCCCTTCACATATACAATGTGGGATTCTAGCTATTTATGTGAGAGGAGGTAATGTACCGTATTGGAAGTTATAATTTTCCTATACTGAAAATGCATTTCCGATGGGTACTTACCTCCGCTCACCCTTCCTCTTCACTGAAATCCGGCACTTCCATTTTCTGCCAACACTCAAAGTGATAGTTCGATAGAATTGAATAGAGGGAGTCAGTAGTGTGTGTCACACTCTTATTAGTGGAGGGTTGTCGCATGATAATTTGTATGCAAGACACAATGGAATTATTCAATTCCAAATGGGTGGGAGTTTCAAGGCATGTGGTGTGTGCAAAAAAAGTTTTTGGATATAGAGGGCAGCACTGTAGGAGAATAGCTATTTCTGTGAGAGGGGTAAGTACCTATCACAAATATATTTTCAGTATAGGAAAATTATAACATTTTTTTTCTCCATTTCTAACCATGGCTTGCACAATTTCTTATGAAAAAATTTTGACACAGGATTTATGTACAGCATAATCAAATATCTTGTTAGAACATAAAGTTTAAAAATTAATTTGATACACACTTATACAGGCTCATTTAAGAAAGAT